TTTTTTTGGTTTTTCTCCACTACCGGGAACCGAACTCACGACCTTGCGCTTGCCAGGCAGGCGCTTTGCCGCTGAGCTAAATCCCCAGCGCCCCCCCTCTTTTGAGATGGGGTCTTGCTATGTTGTTTAGGCTGGCCTCGAAGAGGATCCTTCTGCCTTAGGATCCTGAGTGCTGGGATTCAAGGTGGGCGCCACCATTCCTGGCCTCTAGCTCCTTTTAAAAGTTACTATTATTATTATTATTTGGTACTGGGATTTGAACTCAGGACCTTGTGCTTGCCAGGCAGGCGCTTGTGTCACTGTGCTCTATCTCAGCCCTGTATTTGATTTTTTGAGACAAAGTCTAGTTATGTAGTCCAGGCTGTTCTCAAGCTCCCAGGATCCTCCTGCCTCAGCTTCCTGAGTGCTGGGATAACAGGAGAGTGCCACCATGCCTGGCTCCTAGCCCCCTCCTTTTTAAAAATTTATTTATGTATTTATTATTTCTGGTTTTTTGAGATAAAGTCTCATTATGTAGTCCAGGATGGTCTCGAGCTTGAAGCTATTCTCCTGCCTCAGCCTCCTGAGTGTTGGGATTACAGGTGTGTGCCATCATGCCTGGCTGTATTTTTATTTTGTGACAAGGTCTCGCTAAATTGCCGTGGCTGGGCTTGAACTTGCGAGCCCCCTTCCTTCCTCAGCCTCCCATAGTGCTGGAATTATGGGCATGCATCACCATGCCAGATAAGACACACTTCTTTTTAGCGAAAACCACTTGAAAGGCTGGTCTTAGGTCTGGGGCAGTGCCCAAAATCGATAGTGTAAGTCGTTGCTAAAAAAAAAAGGATATAAAATGTCAAGCATGTACATCATTGGGCTTGTCTGCACTCCGAACCAAGAAACTTTATTAGGAATTAACTATTTTATTTGATGTGGTAGGTATTGAACCCAGGGCCTAGACAAGCACTATACCACTGAGTTACTGCCCCGACCCTACCATGAATTTGTAAGCTTCTGATAGTAAATAATTTTGTTATGAGTAGTGAGGGTAACTGGAACCTTTCTCTCTCTCTCTCTCTCTCTCTCTATATATATATATATATATATATATATATATATATATATATATATGTATTTGGTTGTGTTAAAAGTTTTAAATCAGGCTTGCAGAATGCATGTGCAAGAAAGAAAAGAAAACCACTACTGTTGAGGCCCAAAAATAAAGTGTTCACATGCTATTACACTTTAATTCGGAAAGAAAATTAGACTCTGTCCTTCAAGGAGCTCTTAAATATACCTCCTTCCCATGGAGGGGATCTATATCCCAGCCCATCTTAAGATGAGGTCTTCCTAAATTGCTTAGAACTTGTGATCCTTCTGCCTCAGCCTCCCTCAGCGTGGGATTACAGGCGTGCACAAGGAGCACCTGGTTTAAATATAATCTTTAACAAAATGTTTTGCGGCTTAGGGAGTCTCTAGTAAAGGACAGTACTAAGGGATTTACTTAGTCTAAGGAGTGGAGGAACAATATAGAAGGAATAACTGCAGTTAGGAGGGGGAAATCTTCGTTTTGTTTTGTTTTTTGTTTTTTTGAGACAGGATCTCACTATGCAGTTCAGGCTGGCCTTGAGCTCACTTTGTAGCCCAGGCTGGTCTCGAACTCATAACGATCCTCCTGCCTCAGCCTCCCAAGTGCTGGGATTACAGGGGTGCACCACCACGCCTGGCTCAGGAGGGAGAAATCTTAAAGGAGTAATTAATTCTTTGGGAACATACTGGCAAGACTGAATTGAATTATTTCACTAGATCAGGTCATTAACTTTTTGGTGTGAGTCCTTTTATACTCTTAAAATTTACAGAGGTCTCCAGAGAACTTTTATGTGGTTTGTATCTGTTGATAGTAGCATTAAAAATTTAGTGGGTGTGAGCCGAGGTCTACTTCAGACCCCAAACTTGCTGTTGTGTTAATAAATCTTTCTGCCTCTGCAAATAACAAAATTAAACTGAGAAAAATGTATTTATTTGGAAATAATGATAAATTCATTACATATTAGCATGATGTTTTTATGATAAAAGGTATTTCCCTAACCAAAGAACGTTTAACATGAAAAGTTGCACTGTTTGACATTTTTGTGAATCTCATGTCTGGCTTAATAGAAAACAGCTGGATTCTCATCTGTTTCTGCATTCAGTTTGTTGTGATACCTTGTTTTGGTGGAATTATGTGAGAAAATGAATCTTATTGTGGATATGTAGTTGGAAAAAGGAGGGAACTCCTTTTGGGCCACATTTTGAGGACTTCTGGGCTGGTTTGGTGGTAGTCTTCACGCTGAGCTATCACCTCCCCCCAGTTATTTTGAGAATGGTGTCATTGCTAAATTGCCCAGATTTCAGTATTTGTTATTGTGGAATAAGGAAATTAATCTGAAACAGGGAGGAGGGCTATCTTGAATTAATAGATAGTGAAGTCCTGGATATCGCTTCTCTCTTGATCAGGCAAAAGTAATGTTTTTCATCACATAGAAATATAGTCAAGAAGGCAGAAATATAGTTAGGAGTTCCAGGCAGAGAGAGTCCCGAACCCAAGAAGATAGGGAGATCAGTTTAAAATCATGTTTAGTCTGAGGCATAGCAGTTAATGTCTTTTTAAAATTTTCTACCAAAGGCAAAGCATACGTCATTTCTGAGCTGAACGATGGCAACACTACAGAAGGAAGGTGAGCCAAGACCTGCGGGGAGTGGGGGGGGAGTGGGGGTGGTGGTTACTTTGTATATTTTTCTCATTTACCCCTTCTGGACATCCTTCCCACCAAGAGGCAGTTCACTTCATGTATATTTTGTGTCTGCTGTGTTCAAATTATTACTCTCCTGGATGCTTTGAGAAAAGTATGGCTTAGAAAAAAATCCTGCTCAAGGAATGGATGAACTCATAAGGAAAAAAAAAGAAATTTAATGTCTGTGGCGTAAAGTTGAATGTGGTGATGCTACCAGAGAGGTGCAAAATATGGAAGCACAAAAGAAATAGATACTACTGTATCTGGGAGGATCAGTATAATTTTCATAGAGGAGGTGGCATAAGAATGGGCCTTGAATAATTTATAGATTTTTGACTAGCTTTTTAGCTAATTTCTCATAAAATGTTATCCAAAGTTAAAATGAGCAAATTATAAAAATTGCACACATGAGTAATTTAGCTTTCTATGTGCTTACATTTATCACCTTTAAATTACTCAGTGGTTTCTAAACCTGGCAGTTTATCAGAACCAACTATCCTTATAAAATTGTAGATTTCTGGGCTTCACTTCAAACTACTACTTCATAATCTCAGGAGGCCTGGAGGTAGGTGGAGTAGGCTGGAAGAAACCTAGGAATCTGAATTTGATAAAAGCTCTTTCCTTATAATTCTGACATGGCCTATCAATAGCAGTGTTTGTCAACCTCTGTTAGACTGTGTATCATGAATTCCGTCTGATAAACATTTCTTTCAGAATGTGGAAAGGGACCAAAGAAAACCTTTGCCCCACCTACACAAAAATTGCATAGCATGCTGCCTTGCCCTCCTGATTTACCCAAGGAGGCTCTGGGGATCGGTTCCCCAGAGGCTGAGGCCAAGCCAAGCCAACCAAAGTTAGAGAAGAAGAAGGCAGCCACAGAGAAAGGTCCAAGCCTTGGCCGTGAGAAGAAAAGAAAGGCTCAAGACAGTAAGCCTGGAGAGAAGAATGGAAAGGTACAGATCACACTGATGGGCTCTTGTAGGACAGTTCCTTCTCCTCTGCCTCCCTGCCAGGCTAGACAAACAGAAGCTTTTCATGCTGGGGAAATTCATCCTGTAGTTTTCAGTTTTTGTTTCTTTTGTTGAACTTCCTTTTTCTTCTCAGAGGCATAACATTTTTTGATGAAAGCATTCAGACAGAAATAATGGGATGAGTGGGGTAGAGATGGGAGTAGAAGTAGACAGAGACTTCATAAATGCTTTCCTCTCCTTTGACTCCTTCATTCCAGGAGAGCTTGGATGGAGGTTATGGTCTCCTGAGGTATAGTGACTTTATGCTTTTAGTCTTGTGAACCTCCTGCTGCAGCAGAAGAGATAACTATGAAAAAAATAAGCAGTTTTCCTTCTTACCCGTGTCTTTGCAGGAAAAAATAATTCTTACCAATGCTGAATTTGAGGAGATTGTCCAGACTGTGCTACGCAAGTCCCTCCAGGAGTGCTTGGGTATGGCCTGTGGTGGGAGAGAGAGGGTTTCAGTTAGGCAGAGTGACTGTTGTAAGAGGGGCGGTGTGAGTTTGACAGCTTCCCTCCTCCTTTCCCATCTTCCTAAGTAAGGAAATATTAGATGAAACTCTGAAATATTTCATTCCCAAAAACAGGACTGTAGCTAAATCACCATAGATAAAGGGTGTAGATTTTTAAAAAGCAGATTACATTGACCTCAGGGTAAATAGTCTCACCTACACTTTTAAATGCAATTTTATTTTTATATTTTTTACAGTGTCCTTAGAAAAGATAAATTGCTTCCCAGATTTGAAGGACTTAGTCTTCATCTCCTCTTGTATATTTGTGTGTTTAAGAACTGTATAGTATAGGCCTTGAGTCCTTCTCCATAAGGTCATGAGGCCAAGTATAATGACATCTCAGTCATTCTTAGTGTACTTCTATTCCTAGAAGGAGTTTGAAGAAAAATGATACACAATGCAGAGCATAATTTTTTATATATACAAAATAAAATTATTATCTGGCTGTCATGAAATGAGGAAAATAAATCAGGAAAGGCTTGCAGGAAGATCTAGACTTGTAGTTTTTCCTGACTTTAAAGGTTCTATCATATGGTAAGAGGCCAAAGAGGTAGGTTCTTCCAGGCAACAAAGAAGAAATACTTTAATGAACTGTCATAGTAGAAAATAATGGGGTACTGTAGTTGTTTTCTTTTTATGCTTATAGTGTTTTGTTTTGGGAGGGATGGGATCTGGCCTTGATTTTGCAGAGACTTCCTGTGTAAAGCCAACAGTGTGTATCCAGTCAGACAAAGAACCAGGAATTGTTGCTTCTGCTACTGATAATGATAATGCCAATGGGTAAGTTGACCACAGAGAGGCATGTAGAACACAGGATTCGTAAATGGTGATGTATGTGTCATATTTCTATTGATTTTTCTCAGCTCAAGGAAGAGAACTGTTTGGGCTGGGGGAAAAATAAGCAAGTAAATGGATAAAATGACCTCAGGAGGCCTTAGTGAGCCTAGAATTCTTTGTTTTTGGTGCTACGGATTGAACTTGTACCTAGCCCCAAACCTAGAATTTTTTTTTTACCTTTGAGTTCTTTCAGAAGATTGGTACTGATGTTTCTCCCTTTTAACTTTTCCTTTAAAATATATCATTTTCAGGGAGAAGGTAATGGTACCTCACGCACCAGAGATTTCAGCTTTTCTGCAAGATGCAGTTACCCCTGAGATGAGGGCGTCTGAGCCAGGCCAGGCAATTGCTGCACCCTCTGAGAAGAAACTTCGTAGACTTTACTTAAGCAAAAGAAAGAAAGAGGCTCGTGAGTATAGTTAAATATACTTTGATTCCTGGCTCAAGTACTTAAGACATTAGAGAATGGGATAATGGGCAGGCCAAGAAATTTCAGCTCAGGGCTTACAACTCTTTGACTGTGATTCCTCTTCTTTTACCTGCCTATGAAGACTTCATCTTGCCACTTTATCATGTTTTATTTTTATCTTCTCAGAAGATGAAAAAATGGAGACACCCCAACATGGACATGAGCATGGACAGACAAACCGACGGGAGGATGTGATTCAGAATCGAAAAAGAAAGAGCAATGGTTTTAGTGAGTTTAGCCATGGTTTGGAACACCTAGCTGGGCTGAGAAATTGAGATGAAGACGGAAGCAGGGGTTAAAATGTTATAGAAAACACTGCAAGGTCTGTAATTTATCTCTCACACCTACGTGTTAGAGGGTGTATTACTGAGGGAGAGGGAGAAATATTTTATCTATTCAGTCATTTGTTCACACCATCCATAGTTACTGGGTATCTGTTATCTACCAGACATTCTAAATGGTGCCCAGGAAGAAAACCAAAATGAGACCTGAAAGGTAGTGGAAAAAGTAGGAGAGTGCGATATCACAGATGCCAGGAGAAGAGAATTTTAAGAAAGATGGAGTAGTCAGCCATCGCAGATGTCACCCTAGAAAAGCCAAAGAGGATAATGATTTGAAAATGCTCAAGTATATCACAAATAGGACGTTATTAAGGTCTTGGTTATAGCAACTACATGGATTGCTAAGGGTGAGTGGCAGGTTATCATTAGGTGAAGGGTAAATACTTTTTCAATTAGTCTAGACATGAAAAGAAAGAGGAATAAAATGGTACGTAAAAGGGAGTTGTAGGAGAGAATTGTTTTCTTCTTACAACTTTCTTTTAAAAAAAGAGGGCTGGTGGTATATGTGGGTAAAGTTCTTGCCTAGCATTTGCAAGCCACTAGGTTCCACCCACAAGACTGCAAATAAAATAAAAGATAAGAGAGTGAAAAAAGAGAGCAGTTTGGGTGTACTGATATGCCAAGGGAAGTAGATTTATAGAGAGGGAAAGACTGAAGAGATAGGAATGGGAAGAGATTCAGAGGTTTTATTTTCCTCAGAAAAAAGGGCACCTTAGCTATTAATACCGAGTGGAGAGACTGTAAGGATATACTATATATGCATTCATTTGTTCTTTAGCTTGCTTTTTCTTTTTCTTTGGTGCTGGGTTTTGAATCGAGGGTTCTACCACGAAGCTATGTCACCAGCTCTTTATTCTAACAATAGGGTTTGTTTTTTTTTGTAATCTTTTTGAGACAGGGTCTCGCTGTGCAGTTCAGGCTGGCCTTGAGCTCACTTTGTAGCCCAGGCTGGTCTCGAACTCATAATGATCCTCCTGCCTCACCCTCGTGAGTACTGGGATTACAGGCATGCGCCACCATGCCCAGCTTAACAATAGTTATTAATGCCTTATATTATGTCCTAGGTGTTGCAGTAGTTGCTAGAAGATGAGCAAATTTGATAGCCCTTCCTTTTAATTTATTTTTTGTTTTGTTTTGTTTTTCTGGTACCAGGAATTGAACTCATGACCTTGCACTTGCCAGGCAGGCGCTGTGCCGCTGAGCTAAATATCCAGCCCCCGCCCTTCCTTTTTAGAATTTACAGTTTAGTGTATAAACAGCTAAGAAACATACAAAATAATCAAGGTGATACTGGGAAATTTTATGACAAGAAATAGATCTTATATCAGTAAGTTCAAAAGTTAGTAGAAAATAATCTGGGCAAAAACAGGCTTACACTTAAAAAAAAAAAAAACAAAATGAGAAATGATAGTAAAAACAGAACCCAAAGTATAGGGAACAGTGGAAGAAAACATCAGTTAGTGTTATTCATATATATATGAATTGATCAATCAACTGATAGATTGATTTAAAAGCATATGATTTGTACATCCTTGGAAGAAAACTCTAGAATGGCTGTGTAGCCACCAAACAAGGTAGTCCAAGTCAGTAAACAATTCCTCTTATTCCTGTGCTATTTCATAAATGGATGTATGTTTATTTATTTATTTAGTCTGTTTTTGAGACAGAGTCTCACTATGCAGTTCAGGCTGCCCTTGGGCTCACTTTGTAGCCCAGGCTGGACTTGAACTTGCAATGATCCTCCTGCCTCAGCCTCCCGAGTGTTGGGATTGCAGGAGTGCTCCACCCCGCCCAGCAGTGAATGTATGTTTATTACCATATGTTTCCTACAACAACCATTGAGAATAGTCAATGAATATTCAATTGGTCACTCATATATAGCTCTATTTATTTTCTTTAGAAACCACTTTGAAGATACCAAAGTATAGTACAACCACCACTGATAATAACCTACTACTTTTTTTCTATAACTCACTATTTGTCTATTTGTTTTCCTGAGAAACTATCTTGTAGATAACAATATGTAAAACAACAACCATTGATAATTTCCTACCACTTTGTCTGTAATTTGGTAAGCCCCCCCGTTACTATGTTATCCTTCTTTTACTCTTTAAAATAAAAAAGAAACAATTCCTCTTACTAAAATGACATAGTAACATAAGGAGCTAGCAGTATAATTTGTACAGTAAGGTGGTCTGAAATTCAGCTCACTCCAAGGAAGGTTGTAGATAGTAGGTTCTTTTCTAGAAAAGAAAACTAAGAAGTTTTTACTTTTGATTTTATGTGGCTATGTAAGCTCAGATATTCCTGTTGAGAACTTTTGGAATACTTCAGACATTTCTAGCTAATTCAGATAAACTTGAGTCATTAGGTTTGTGTTGCCTGATGTGTTTAACCTCTCCCCAAGAACTAGACTTTAGGCTAGCAGATGGGAGTTCATTCCCTAGGTGGCGCTTGTGAGCTGAATTACGATCACAGTGAGTTTGTCAGCCTCTTGCTATCCTTGAACCATTCTTCCTGTTTCTCACAGTTGCCAAGGCCAGGAGAGTCGTCCTGAAGTAGGAAGTAGAAACAACTGTATGCAGTGAATACTTCACGTTAAGCACTGTGAAGGAAAGGAACAGAGTATCATGAGAGGAAATAATGGAGACCTAAGTAAAATTGGACCAGTCAGGGAATGCATTTCTAAGGAAATCTTATTTTAGCTGAAACCTAAAGAAGAGAGGAAGTTATTCAAGTGAAGAATAAAAGAGAGGTTTTGTTTCTTTGTTTTTTGAGACAGTCTCACTATGTAGTTCAGGGTATCCTTAAACTCACTGTATAACCACGAACTTGAGGTGATTGTCCTGCCCCAGCCTTCTAAGTGCTAGGATTACAGATGTGCACCTCCACACCTGGTCAGGAGAGTTTTATGTGGGGTAAAGTTTGGCATAGTCCCAGTACTAAAAGCCTGTGTGATCAGCATTCAGACAGCAAGGGGAGGCAGGTTGGGAAAGTAGCTCTGGGAAAATGGAAGGATGTAGGCAGTGGCTTGATCAAAGGAAATGCTACGGAGTGAGCACCATTGGGAAGCCGTTGGTGGATTTTAACCAGGAAATAAGATCATCAAATTCATGTTTTCAGATAAGTCTTTGGGAATAGAGTGTTTGGGGAAGAGTTGAAGAATTTGTGCTAGTGTAGGATTAGGTGTTTTTGGTGGCTTGGGTTAAGATCATGAAAGTAGAAAAATGGATGGTTTTGGAGATAAAATTGTCAGAACTTGGTAATGAATTGGATATTGGGGAATAGGGGAGAGAAGAGGATTTGTCAAAAATGATTAGTTTCTGATTTAAGCAGTTATGTGAAAGGAAGTGGAAAAGCGCAGGAGAAGAATACATTTGTGGGATATGCTTTCATAATGAACTATTTACTTTATTAATTTATATTAACTTTTATGGTCCCCAGCTCCTGTGCCTATAGGTTTTTTTTTTTCTAGTCTTGCTGTATCACCTCTAAATGTCCAAAACTAACATTGGCAATGGTTGTTTCTAATTAACATATTATTTCCAACCAATACTTGGTTCTTAAGTCAAAGTAATTGAGAAAATAATCCATAATAAGTGATATTTTGAAAGGACCTAAATAAATTGCCTTGTTTCTTGAGGGATGACTTTGGTGGGTGAGGGTCATCCTTTGTGTTCAAACCCTTAAGGTAAAATTTGGCAGTAGGGAACACATTAACTAGAGGAATATATTGGTTGGTGATATTAATCGTGAGTATATAGTGATACATATGTGCCTGGTTAAGTAATTTTTCTCTAGTAGCCCTTATTTGCAGCAGTGTAAGCACAGAAAAGGTAGAATGTGTGTTCGTTTAGGGTGGAGTTTTGCCTGTCTCATCGCAGTGGAGGAAAGGACAGAAGGGAAAGGAGTTGATGGTGTCTGGAAGAGTCATGGATTTAAAGCCCACTGGTCAGGGTGAAGAGGAGAAGTTGCTACCAAGTGGTGAGGACTGGAGGGGCCGATAGATTGGAGCATAAGATGAAATGAAAGCTGTGGGGCAACTTGTGGGCAGATGAGGTAGGAGGATAAGGCATTCTTGTCAGAGAGGATGTTTGGATAAGTGACTCGGAGGGTGTGGGTTCCTGCGGAGGGCTAGCTGGGCACATGAGTGTGAGACTGCGTTGCTGAGGTGGCAGGGAGGCGAACAGGTGCTTTTTGAGTTACTTTTGTGGATGTGATGGTCAGCTGGACCAAAGGCTGAAGGCAGAAAGGAAGAGGAAACCGAGCTGGATGGTAGCATCTTTGTGAGGGAGATACAAGGGCGGTAGAGTCCTGCGGCACGGATCTCAAAGGAGAGGGTTTCTATAAGAGGGAGGGGAGCAGTGACAGTGGGAGTGAGGGTGTTGTCGCCCGCTTCTGTCCTGAGAGATGTGGGGCTGTGAGAAGGAGGAGACTGCACTTAGGGGCTGAGGTGGGGTTGGGTGGGACAGTGTCATTTGTGGATCTTCAGGCTTCTAAAAGGAGGTAGACTTTCAGAGAAGAGGTAGGGCATGTGGATGTTAGTTATTCAAGTCTGTGGATCTCACAGAATGCATTGGAAGAGTTTGGAGGGAGAGAGGAAAGGCTGTGTGGGGCCCGGGGTCAATTTAGAAGATGTGGAAATACAGAGAGGTGGGAGTTTGGAAGATGATGGATAAAAGGAAGGCTTTTCCTTGGAGTAGGGTTCACAGTGAATGGTTAGTGGAGAAAATGCTGGACTTAAACTGGGGTTTTTCATAGGAAGATGAACCCAGGACTGTTGGTCCTAAAGGGTGCAACTTGGTAACAGGTAAATAGTTGAGATTCAGATAAGAACTGTGAATATTGTGCTCAGATGAGATTCTTTTTTTTTTGGTCTTTTTGAAATAGGGTCTTGCTATGCAGTTCAGGCTGGCCTTGAGCTCACTTTGTAGCCCAGGCTGGTCTCAAACTCACAACAATCTTCCTGCCTCAGCCTCCTGAGTGCTGGGATTACAAATGTGCGCCGCCACCCCCAGCATGAGATTCTTTTTTTTTTTTTTTCCAGTACTGGGAATCAAACTCACAACCTCATGCTTGCCAGGCAAGCACTGCCGGCATGAGATTCTTGTTAGCCCTGCAAAAGAACTTTTCAGTGGTACCATGCCATCAGAGAATGATCAAGGCACTGTCTGAAAAGATAGCAGGAATTTTTTTTATAGGGAGAGTGGACCTCAGGACTGTACATGCCCTAGGCACGTGCTGTGCAAGGGAGCTAAATCCTCAACCCTAAGGCAACTTTTAAGTTTAATCACTGTTACTTCAGGAAATAGTCCTTTCTGCCTCCCCTAAAGGAGTGGTCCAGATGTGTGATTTAAGCTCTGAGGTCAGCTCTGTCACCAAGTTAGACTGATCCTGAGCAAGTCATCGTCTTCTTTGAGCCTTGCTTTTGTTATTTTAATTCGGAGATTGGACTAGTTCACAAGTAAGGTCTGTATGGAGACGTGATTCTGGGGGTCGGTGAGAAAGTTGTAGTGATTTTAGTGGCACTGAGGAAAGAAGAGCTTATTTTAGTCTCTCATTTCAGTCTTTTTCCTGTCATAGGTCATTGTATAGTCTGGGTTCAGTGTTCTTCTCCGAACTGTAGAAAGTGGAGGCGGCTGTGTAGGAACATTGACCCCTCAGTTCTCCCGGATAATTGGTTCTGTTACCAGAATACAGGTAAGAAGGAATGGCAATGGTTTATTTTTTTCAGTTTTTACTGTTCCTCTTCTTTTCTCCTGCATGCATTATTTAGATAAATATATAAGTATAGTTAGCACTTAAGGGGTCCTTTAATGACTGGGAGAAAAGGAACAATCTTCTTGCCCTGTGGAAATGAAGCTGGGCATGAGGGCTGGAAGAAGACTTCCTGCAGTTATGTTATGGGGAGGGGCCTGGAATCTGAATATATGTACAGTACGAAATGAATTCCCTTTTCTTCAAAACTGGCCGGATCCTGTCAGTCCTGATTAAAACATTACTATTGGGTTGGTGGACAGGGAGGGATATAAGATAGTGGAGAAAAGCAGGTGAGAAACACCCAGTGAGCTTAGAATTATAAAATGTTTAAAACTATTTGGAAGACATTATGGTGATCTTATCCAGCGTATTTATCTTACAGATGAGAAAAGAGTCTCAGAGAAATTACCCCCATTCTGTCCCACAGTTGGGGGCAGAGTCACACTGTGAGATGTAAGCAAGAGGTTGGAATCTCTGTAAAGTATTAGGAAGCAGCACTCCTACTTCTGCATTTCCTCTTTGGGTGTATTCTTGCCCAGGCGCCCTTTGTGCCACCTGTTACTTGTATGCTCCTTGCTCTCTTCCAGCCTGCAGCTAGATTTTTACTTATGTTCCTTCATTCTTTCTTTTGGCAGATGTGGATTATAATTGCTGTGATATCCCTGAGGAGGCCTGGACAGGGAATGAGAGTGAAGTGGTCTATGCCTCCTATATCCCAGGATCCATCATCTGGGCCAAGCAATATGGTTACCCCTGGTAGGGAACCACGACATAGTTGGAGCATTCTTTCTGAACTTGGGAATAATGGATTCAAGCAGGGAGGGAAGGAAACGGAAAGCATTAATAATGGTGCTTGCCTTAGAAAGAACATGGGGGACTGGGCGTGGTGGTGCATGCCTATAACCCCAGCATTTGGGAGGCTGAGGCAGAAGGATCACTCCAAGTTCAAGGCCAGCCTGGGCTACAAAGTGAGTTCAAGGCCTGCCTGAATGCATAGCAAGACCCTGTAAAAAAAAAAAAAAAAAAAAAGAACAAATGATCCTGGGGCGAAGGAGAAAAATACCTAGCTTTGAGGTTTTACAGAGTATGTTTTCTGGAGGTTTCTGAGTGGAGTGGTATCTCTCTTGGAAAGTCGATCTGACAGTGCTACTATAGTTGGGTAAGAAATGAAGAGATTGCCCAAAGTATTACAAAACTGAGATGTAGGAGGCAGGCAAAGGAAAGAGAGTAAGGGTTGATGGAAGTCGTTTTAGTTATTTGGTAGTGGCCTTTGGAAGGGACTAACCTGGGGTGGGGTGTACCTTTTAGATCTTTTATTCACAGCATACATTGCACTTTTCTGTACGTGTGTATTGACAAGATTGTATTTTGTTCATCTAACCCCATCTCTTTTATCCTCTGTGCCCAACTATTCTCTTTAGGTGGCCGGGCATGGTAGAAGCTGATCCTGACTTGGAGGAGTATTTTCTTTTTGCTTCTCATTTTGATTCTCTTCCGGTGAGTTTCTTGCTTCAGGCCAGAGTAATGAACGCATTCATCCTAAGAGATGTTCAGAGTTAGAAACGTAGACCTAGCCAGCAGACAAAAGTGGAAATAGACACTTAGCTAGAGCGACAAACATAGAGGTAAGTACTCACACATAGAACTGAACTTGAATCTAATTAAATATTTATGGTTTTGATGATTATGCCAGGATTTTGATAATTGGCTAGGATTCCTGAGCTCAGAATGGAAGAACAGTGGAATGACGTGAGGTAAGTCAGTCAGGCTTCAGGGAGCATGAGACCAGGCACTTTCTGTATGATTCGCCCTGTCTTTCTTCACCTTTTCTGGCAAGAGGAGAAAAGCAGGAAAAAGGACAAGAGCCATACATGCCTGTGTCTTTTATTGCAGTCTAAGTACCATGTGACATTTTTTGGAGAAACAGTTTCTCGTGCTTGGATTCCAGCGAACATGCTAAAGAATTTCCAAGAGCTGTCCCTGGAGCAAACAGGAGTGGTGAGCAAACCTTGGTAGTCTGTTGTGATACAGGGACCTGGAAAATGAAATATCTCCTTTATTAAACCAGTCTGCTCCCAGGGGGAGCTGCTGGGAGAAAGTACTACGTCTGAGCAGCTGCGCCAGGGCCGAGTCACTCAGGAGGGTTGCAGTGAGGTCATGACTTCAGTCTCCGTACCCACCTGCACATAGGGGGGCTTTTAAAGCATTAATTATATTGGTGTGCTTTAGATAGACACACGATAACATTCGCATTCATCATACAGAATTTGTACCTTACATAACACATCTTGACTCTTGTTTCCCCATTTTCTTTCCTCCCTTCTGCATCTCTTCTCCTTATTTAGAAAATTTTAAGGGGAAGCTTTTAAAGATGGAGGATTTCTACAGTTGAGCCAGAGCAGAAGTAGCAGATATAAGGGCCTAGATTAAATTAGAATTTCACAGTTTCAGCACTATAAACATTTTGGGCAAAATAATCCTTTGTTGTGGAGTCATGGGATTTTTTTGTGGGGGCAGGGTCTTGCTCTGTAATTCAGGCTGGCCTCAGATTTGTAGTGATCCTCTTACCTCAGCTTCCTGAGTACTGGGATTATAGGCATGTGCCACTGTGCCAGTTGTATTATAGGACTTTTAACAACTTCCTTGGGCTCTGCTGGCGTCTTGTCAGTAACATCTTCTACCCTTATCCCCTATCCCCTGCTCTTAGTTGTGAAACCAGGAATTGTCTTTAGACATTCCCAGATGCACTGGATTAACTAAATTATATTTCCTCTCTTCAGTCACTTTGGTTTTGACTAGCTTTATTTTTTTTATTTTTTGGTCTCTTTTGAGACAGGGTCTCCCTATGCAGTTCAGGTTGGCCTTGAGCTCACTTTGTTGCCCAGGCTGGTCTCGAACTCGTAGTGATCCTCCTGCCTCAGCCTCCCAAGTGTTGGGATTACAGGCGTGTGCCACCACGTCCAGCCCTTGACTAGCTTTAAAATGAGCAAAGAGGCCCAGCACCTCAGGAGCATTAGAAAATTAAGCAGTAAAGATTACGTCAAGTGGCTGGACCTAAAGAAACTTAAAAATGTGGAGTCACCTGAACTTTTTCAGTCTTTTTTTATTTTTTCTCAAATTCTCACTGGATTTGTTTTGGAGAAGACACCAAAATGTTAGTTGAAAAATTTGCTGGGAATTGGTGAGAGGTTTATTGGGAGAAAGGGAATGCTGTGTCGAAGCTCAAAAGATTAAGAGTATCTTATCATTACTAGGAACTGGAAGCAAATGTAAAGATAATGCCTGGGGGGTGGTAGTATATTGGGGGTCACTTCTCTTGTATTTATTATTGACTAGCACTTAAGGCAGTATTCATCACTGACTCTAACTTTCTTCCATTTCAGAAAAAGTGCAGGAACAAGGATTACATTCAGAAACTGGAAGTAGCTGTAACCATGGCTTATAAAGCAAGGCAGACCGGCATTGAGGTGGCAGAATATTCAGACCACATACTTATTCCTCTTCAGGACTTGAACACAAAACACACTGTACACTCCCCACTGCGAAAAAACTGATTGTACTTCCCTACTCTGCAGTCTAGTTTTTGTTTTTATTATTTATTTTATTTTATTTTATTTTATTTTGGTCTTTTTGAGACAGGGTCTCACTATGTAGTTCAGGCTGGCCTTGAGCTCACTTTGTAGCCCAGGCTGGGCTCGAACTCGCAACAATCCTCTTGCCTCAGCCTCCTGAGTGCTGGGACTACAGGCATGCGCCACCACACCCAGCTTGTTTTTATTTTACTTATTTTATTTTTTGTCTTTTCAAGACAGTTTCACTATGCAGTTCAGACTGACCTTGAGCTCACTTTTTAGCCCAGGCTAGCCTCAAACTCACAGTGATCCTCCTGCCTCAGCTTCCTGAGTGCTGGGATTACAGGTGTGCGCCAACATGCCCAGCTGTCCAGTCTCTTTCAGAACTGCTCTTTCCTTCCAGATTCTTCCAGAGTCCCTTGACTCCTTAAGTCGCCTCTTCCTTCCCCTGCCCTTGAACAAAAAGGATCTTATCTTCTCTTGGCCCAAACACTATAGTAGGGGACATCTTACCTACCTTTAACTGCAAGCCTCAGTTATATGCACTCTACCTTCTCTTTTATTTATTCAGTTTTTGCCCTCAATTTCTACCGCTAGGATGTGAGGCTGAGAAGGAGAGTGGCAAACTTGGGAATTTCTTTTTCCCACTTTTTTGTTGAATTATGATTAAACTGAAGAATATTATAATTAATCTGCAAAAGTGCAAATAAGGCTCATGTGATATTTCAAATGAAAACGTTATGGAAAATGAATACAAATTTTGTTAGGACTACAATCTAGAGAACAGGGCAAATGCTGCTCCTGGGAGGGTAGTGGATAATGCTTTTATTTCTTGGTTCCCTCAGGAGCGGGTTAACTTGTTTGGTTTCTGGAACCGATATTGTGGATCTGACAGCAATGAAGAGAAAAGAGGTAGAGGTGGAGGATGAGGACTGGAAAGGGAGGGGAGGAATTCTTCCGTGACGGCAGCAGTCCACGTTTTCTTTATATTATGGTCCATGTCATCAGCCTAGTTCTAGATTCTGTCGTAGCAGGCTTTATGGATGTCATTGATCCAGTATTCAGGATGGATGGGTACATGGGTGGAGACAGGAGTGGGACAAAAGGGTGAGAAGGGAGGGCAGGGTATATAACAGCGATGGACTTTGCAAAGGGTGAAGCCACGATAATGTAGGAACATGTTTTAGAAAAATATTACTGGGACGCAGAAGGTGGAGTTAGAAGATGGAGTCTTTGGAATTTGTTCTGTTAACACATCCCCTGTTTGGGCGGATAAATCGGCCTTTTCTTTCTCTGTTCTAGACTTAACACTGTCTGGGGCTGACAGCGCTGAGCCCAACACGGCGAAAGAAGAGGAGGCGTTTGAGATGGAGGAGAAAGAGCAAAAAGTAAGATTAGCTTTAAGTGTTGGCTTAGATCAAGATCTTGGAGTTCCTCATAGGAGGCTCCTGTAAGGAGCTGGTTAGCGTGGGTTTTACATTTACTTTGAGCCGTCCCATCCTTACGTGGGCTGCCCCAGCCAGCGGGGCTGGTCTCCTCATGGTCTCCAGGGAAGGAGTCTCTCTTCTTCCTTCACCATTCTCGGAATACTTCATCTTTCTCAGAAATCCCTGATTATAATCTCAGTTTCTACTGTATTTCTTTGGTTCTACCTGGGGCAGTTTTAGAGAACAGCAGATTGCTTCCCTCTGCCCTTTTCTCCCCTCATGTGGACACTTAGGACATTCAGTCGCTCATTTTCTTTGGATCTCTTTTGCCGGAATATGACACATAGATTTTTGACTTCCTTTTTTAAAATTTACCTACTTTTGCCATGCTTCTGGCCTCCTTTTATTTCCTTTGATGCAGAAAGCCTTGCATTGACAAATACTAAGTGGAATGGGAACGTCTCCACACATTTTGTTTGTGCGGCCACACATTTAGACATTGACCAGCTCATGGAGGACCCCTTTTAGGAGTCAGCCCCCCTATTATTTTATAGTGTCCTTCTCTGTTAAATATAGTTATGTGGCTCAGTTTATCTTTTAAAATAAATTTCTCTCCCATCCGCAGGACCCAACTTTGCCTGGTCCCAAGTCAGCCAAGATAAAGACCAAAAACCCCAAGCCGAAAGGTAAGCAGGCCACCTGGAAAGGGAACCTGTCACAAAGTGAGGGCAGGCAGAGGCAGAGGGTGGAAGGGGATCTGCAGGTAGTCGGACCTCACTGATTGTTTCAGGTCCGGACCTCAAAAAACAGGCAAGACTAGCTTATCGTGTTAGGGAGGAAGTGTAGCTTCGTTTTAAGTAGATAATTATTGCTGTGCTGGAGATTGAACTAAGGGCCTTTGCACAGAGGTACATCCCCAGCCCTTTTTTGATATTTTTTAAAATTTTGAGACAGGATCTCCATGTTGCTAAAGTTGGCCCAGGCTGAGCTTGAACCCGTGCCCTTCCTGCCTCAGCCTCCCAGAATTATGGGATTGTAGACATGTGTCACTGCCTGGTGGGCCACCTCATTTTGTGTTTTATAAAATCTTAGGTTAAAGTTGCAAAGTTTTAAATTCTTAGCCAGGAAGGACAACTTCCTGGAGAAGGCAGGCTCTGAAGAAAATCTTAAAGAGAAGATCCAGGGAATTAAAAAAAAAAATCAAAGGCAGGGCGTGGTGGCACACGCCTGTAATCCCAGCACTCGGGAGACTGAGGCAGGAGGACTGTTGTGAGTTCAAGACCAGCCTGGGCTACAAAGTGAGCTCAAGACCAGCCTGAACTGCCTAGTGAGAGACCCAGTCTCAAAAAGACACACACACACACACAAAAAAAATCAAGATGGTTGGGAAAGTCAGAACCACAGAGAACTCACTAGATTGAAAATGAGCAGAAGATGTTGAGCAGGGCAGAGACTAAATGTGGGGGGACCATCTGCCCTTGCCGCGCTGTTTAGAGAGAAATACATTTTCTTCATGTTTGGGATGGGGTGATGTAGGCACAGTGGACGGACAAGACAAGATTGTGAAAAAGAAGGTAACCAAGAGATGTCTGCACAGTGAATCCACAGTGCCCTCTGTACCCATAATGGAACGGAAAGAAGAGCAAAGGAATCCAGATCTGGACCAGCCAGGTAAGGTTCAACATCTAAAAAATTATGAGGAAATGAGGCCCATGTCTGTTATCTTTCCTCCCTGGATCATTTCTGAGCATTCCTATAGTGTTTTGTTACTTTGAGGAAAGCATGAAATTCAGAATGAAAAGGGTATGTCTCAGATTGTACTTAGAACATGCTACGAAATATAATGGGGCCAGGTATAGTGGCACGTGCCTGTAATCCCAGCAATCAGGAGGCTGAGGCAGGAGGATCACTGCAAGTTTGAGGTCATCCTGGGCTACATAGTGAGACGGTCTCAAAAAAAGAAAAGCAGTGGTTATTAATTTGATGAATCCAGATATGGGAGAATGGTGGGGAAAAGATTTTTGTTGGATTTGCCATGGCTGGCTAGATACTTCCACGCTTGTTCCTTCTAATTCTTTCAGTAGCTCTATGACTAGACAATTGCCATTTTAAATTTAAGAAAACTGATGCGCAGAGATTTTAAAACTTAAGACCCATGTTGAGCATGTGGCTGATTTATGGCTTCAGTCTTAAGTCTTTCTGATCCAAAAGCCCATGTGTTGTGTACTAAGAAAGGTCACCTTTTCCAGAGATTTTACCAGTGTGGGCATTTAAGAATTTGACTTGTAAAAGTCAGACTAGACTGACCAGTGGGACTCTCAACTTTGTTCCTTTTTCATTTAGGATCTAAGAAAAGATTTCAAGTTCCCCAAAGCAAGACTCCAGCAGTTATCCTGCCTGAGGAAAAGGAAGTTAGAATGGTGCCAAAGGGCCTCACCCCACCACCTCATCATAGGGCCCTTCCTTTAGAGGGGAAAGAAAGATCTACACCCCAAGAGCCGCTGATTCAGGAGCCTGGAAGTGTCTGCCTTGAAGATGAAGCCTCCGTTGGCCTGGACCTGGAGCAGATCATGGAAGATATTGGAAGAAAGTCAGAAGGAGGAGGGGAGCTGTGAGACTGAGACGATGCAGGGCACTCTTTGTGGCCTCCTGTGATAAGCAGTGCTGGCCCCCTGCCCTCCTCTTACTCTCTCTGAAACCACAGAGAGGGCCTTTTGGTTCAGTCTCTGACACGTTCTTAAGTGTTTGACTTGTTAATCGGCTGCAAGGTTCAGTAGCTTCTCAGTTTGTGTTAATAAAGTGGGCTGCATGTGTGGTCTGTTTGGCTGGTGTGTGTGACCACCTGTGTCACTTCGGGTCTTGCCCTCACCCCGTGTCACCGTGGCACATTGTCGTCCCTGGCGGAGGCCTGCACAGGGTGGGAACCCGGGCGAAGCAGTGAGACCCGAGTCCTGGGAGACCCTCCAGAAGGACAGGTCCATTCAAAGCCTGGCTTGGGGGCGGGGATATAGCTCAGTGGCGCAAGTGCCTGCCCGGCAAGTGCAAGGTCCTGCGTTCAATTCCCAGTACCACCCGCCCCAGAAAAAAGCCTGGCTCGGCTGCTTACTAGCTGCTACCTGCTTCGGGAAAGCACCTCATCACCTGCCCTTACGCCCATGCCTCAGCAGCGCACCATCTTGCTTGGGTGCTGGGCACGGTTCAGTGGGGGGGGGGTGTATGGTGCAGTCCCAGCGTGCGGTGGTTACCACAGCGAGAGGAGATTATGATCCGACTTGGGAGCAGCCCCGGGGCCGAGGCTGATATCTTAGTCACTTTCCTGTTGCTTAGACACAGTAACTGGCACCCACACCTTAAAGGAGGAGAGGTTTATTTCGGCTCATGGTTTCAGTGCATGGTCAGCAAGATCCAAGGCAGAAGCAGGATGGTGGAGAAAAGGTGCGCAGTGCGTGGCAGCCAGACGCAGAGAGCAGGGAGGATCCTGCCGGGGACAAGAATACATCCTTCCAGTTCATGCGTCCCCATGCCTTCCAACCAGACCCCACCTTTTAACAGCACACGTAGCTCCTCATCTGTGGAGGAGTCCACTGATGAGTGCCGCACCCCTGCGAGCCAGTCACCCTCCACACACCTGAGAATACGGGGTCATTTTAGATCCGAACCGTAACAGCTGCTACGAGTATTTGGGGATTTGTGTTCCCCAGATTGAGGCAGTCAGTGAAAAAAAAAGTAGGGGCCTTAGATAAGAATTATCTATTAGAATTTATTTTTAGTGGAGAAGCAGAAGTTGAAGTTGACATCAGTTTCGTCTTTAAATGCAATCGACACATTTTGTGGGTCATTGTGTTTCTGAGCAAGGGCTTGGAAGTTGAAGAGGGAACTAATATAGACGGCTTTTTCAATTCCTTTCTGGCTGACTTCTGAGTCAAACTCGCTGACTTCTGAGCCATCTTAGCTACTGTTGGAAGCTGTGATCATTCCTACCGGACTCACAGATTGTCCTCCAGTCCCACTCTAGGTCTTTAGGAGAGTGTACAGTATCTCTTCTTGGGGCGTCTCGTGGGAAGGTTGGCAGAGAGGTGCTCGGGGTGAGGTCAAGTTGGAGAGGGTGACAGAGGCATAGACGATGTCATTCTGGGTGAGAAGCAAAAGAGAAGGTCAGACAGCAGTGACAGAACTGTCCCTATCTGAAGGCCGCAGCCTATTACCTGAGTGTTCTGCCCACACCCGGGCCTTCCGTTCCTTCTCCACCTTTGTCGGACTTCACTGACTTTCCTTAAGGTCTGAGCTACTTACCTGGGGGTTCAGCTGGGCGTCTTTATGTTTTTCTAAGGAAAAGAAAAATCAAGGAATGCTGAGGCCAGGGGGTACAGCAGGCAGGGTGGACAGGCAGACAGCCTGCGCCAATAGTGAAGTTAGCTGCTAGGTCAGGGCCAGGGCCGTGTGGGAGGGATGAGGTGCAGAATGGGATGTGGGCAGGGTGCATTTGGAGAAGAAAGCAGCGCTAAAGATGAACTGGGGATGGGGTAGGACTCACCTTCGTACTTAGTGTTCTCATAGTTCTCAGTGCTTTCGACAAGTTCCCTGCATTGGGCCAAGGGGATGAGAAATGGATTAGCTCCCGGCAGAAAAGAGTTAAAATATACCAGGGACTGATTCTCTTTGAGAGGGGCTCTGCAACCCGCCCTGACGCTCAGGATGAAGGGGACAATGTTAGATCCTCGGCAGGAGGCCGTTTGAAAGAGGAGTTGGAGGGCCTTGGTGGGGTGGCCCCTGGGAGTCCTCAGCGCTGAAAGTTAGGGTCATTCTAGGGAAGCTGCCTGCATTAGGGACATAGAAATAGACAGAGTCAGCTGCCTTGGCTGAAAGTGGGCAAATGAAACCAATTTAGTGAGTTTCAGGTCCTCTGGGAAAAAATGGCGGTTTTTTGGAGAAGGGAGCAGGGCGGGGCCAGAGGAAGGGCAGGCCGTGAAAGACGGGGCATGGAGAGGAAGGACGGAGGGTGGCTTGAAGCAGGGAAGGTACGGTAACGGCAAAAAGGGCAGAAGAGGAGGAAGAGGCTGGAGAATGAAGAGGGAAGGACGGGAGAGGCGGCAGAGCTGGACTTCTAGAGCCCGAGGCACATGTACTGGAAAACATCAGATTGGACAGAGGGGAGAAAGCAGAGGGCGTGATATGGGCGAGCTGCGTGTGAGCACCTCCAGGAGGTGTTCAGGGCTCCAGGAAACAGATAAACAACAGGTGAAGAACTGGGAAGAGAGAAAGAAAGAGGATGCAGAGGAACGAGGGAGCCTCTGAAGGACTGGCCGCTGTTCTCAGTATCAAGGGATGGAGCCTGCAGAGGCCCAGAGCCTGGCCTGTTAGAGGACAAAGATGGGCAGACTGGGGGTCAGCGGGGAGAGCTGCTGTGAAAGACGTCGCCTTTGGCTCTCACAAGGAAACCTCCCGAGCCAGTGCACGCCCCCTCCCAGCCCCTCGGCGGGCAGGCACTCACCCGGCGGGGCTTTGGGCTTCAACCTGCTGACCTGTAGGGAGACCAACAGTGCGTCAATGCGACATTCACAGACAGACTCCATCTCGTCTTTTCGGCTGTATCCTATGCTCAGAAAATCCTTACATGGACCAGGGAAGCAGAGAAGGTGTCCACATCCCAGCCAAGGGCCTGGGTCTCACCAGCTCATACCCGTCCCGTGGTCCTTGACAGCAAATTCTAAGACCGTCTCTTCTGCTCTTTTGCTCCTTCATCCCTGCTGTCTCTCCCTGTTTCCTTCTCCCCGCCCCCCTTTGCTCATCACCACCTGCCTACTTACCTTTTTCTGCAGTCAGCCCCTCCACAGCCTCCTGCCTGGCCTTAGAGATGGAGCTTCTCTTCTGAGTGCTGGCTGGTTTTGCCCTGGCTGACTCAGTATCATGTTAAAATCATGTTTAAACTTCTGCTGTTATCACAGACAGGTCCTTTCCCACCTCTTTGCTAGTTTTCTTCCCCTTACCCTGTGAGTGAGTGGTCTCGTCCCCCATGTTGAAGACCATTTGACTGTATATGTGAGCTTTATTTCCGAGGTCTCTGTTCTGTTCTACTGGACTGTCTTTGCGCTAATCCCATGCTGCTTTGATTACTGCAGCTTTATTGTTGTTTTTTTTGTTTGTTTGTTTTTCTCCGGTACCGGAACCGAACTCACGACCTTGCGCTTGCCAGGCAGGCGCTTTTGCCGCTGAGCTAAATCCCCAGCCCTGATTACTGCAGCTTTAAAATGGTTTGAAATAGGACATGTAAGTCCTTCACATGTGGCTGTTTAGAGTGACTTTGAAAATTCATATGAATAGCAAGATGAATTTTTCATTTCTGTCAAGAATGCCATTGTGATTTTCGGAGAGATTGCATTGAATTTGTAGATTGTTTTGAGGAGTGTGGATATTTTTTTTTCTTTTTCCGGTATCAGGAATCGATACGCTTGCCAAGCAGGCACTGTGCCACTGAGCTAAATCCCCAGCCCCTGGATATCTTCATATATTAATTCTTTTAATCCATGCCTATGAGATGGTTCCTTTCATTTCTTTCACCAAGGTTTTGTACTTTGTATTCAATGTACAAGTCTTTTACCTGCTTGGTTAGGGTTTTTCCTAAGTATTTTATTTCTTGATGCTATCATAAATGTGATCTTAAACTTTGCAATCCATTCATTAATTCTAACAATACTTTTATGGAATTCTTAGCTCTTTTTTTAAAAAAAATAGTCCTGGGCATTGAATCTAGGGCCTGAGGCATGCTAAGCAAGCGCTCTCCCACTGAGCCGTATCCTCAGTGGTTTTAAAGTTTTAAAATTTTGAACAGGAGGTGGCAAAGCTCCCCAAGTTGGCCTTAATCTTGGTATCCTTCTGCCTTAGCCTCCCAAGAAGCTGGGATTATAGGAATGTCCTACCATGCCTGGCAGATCTTTAGCTTTTCAACACATAAGATCATGTCCTCTGCAAACAGAAAATTTTACTTCTTTTATTCCACTTTGGGGGCCTTTTATTCTGCTTACATCTCCAGCTGCGCTGGCTTGGACTTTCAGTACTGCTTAGAACACAAGTAGTGAGTGTGGGCAGCCTTGCCTTATTCCTAATTTTAGGTGCAAAGCTTTTAGACTTTCACCATTGAGTGATATTAACTATGTATATTCAATAAATGACCTTTATTATATTGAGGTCATTCCCTTCTTGGTTTGTTGGTTTTTTTTTTTTTTTTTTTTTTTTTTTTTTTTAATGAAGGAGCATTGCATCTTGTCTTTTTTCTAACTCAATTGACATGGTCAGATATTTTTTGTCTTCCTAGTCTGTGAATGTGGTATGTTACACTGATTGACTTTAAATTTAGTTTTTTGTGTGTGTGTGTGGTGCTAGAGATCGAACTGGGGACTTTGTAAGAGCCCCTCTAGCTCTTGGCGTGTGTGTGTGTGTGTGTGTGTGTGTGTGTGTGTGTGTGTATTACTGGGGATTGAGCCAAGGGTTTTTGCACTGAGTTACTTCCCAGCCTTTTTTATTTTTAATTTTGAGACAAGAACTCTTTAAGTTGCCCACACTGGGCTGAAACTTGCAATCCTCCAGCCTCAGCCTTCCAGAGTTCTGAGACAACAGGTGTGTTGACTGATTTTTGTATGGCGAACCAACCATCTTTTCATTGCATGGATAAATCCCACTTGGCCATGATGAATAACCTTTTACGGGCGCTGTTGAATCTGGTGTCCTAGTATGTTATGGTGCTGTGCGTGTCTGTAATCCAAACTACTCGGAAGTTGAGGCAGGAAGATTAAAGTTTGGGGACAGCCCTGGCAATTTAGCAAGATCCTACTTCAAAATAAAAAATTAAAAAAGTCTGGGGATGTAGTTCAGAGGTAGAGCATTTACCTAGCATGTGTGAAGCTCTGGGTTCCATCCCCAGTACCACCAAAAATGAAAAAAAAGTTTTTAAGCACAGTGTACTACTGTTAGGGAAAGCACAGTCCTGTACAATCATAATTTTACAGATTTATAGTTCTCATATGAATCGAGTCCTCAAACCCTAGTCCTGTTTCCTCAGTGACTACATCAGACTTCCTCTTCAAGTCTCTGAGCATCTTCCTCACTCTCAACCACCCCTCTGGTTTCTGCTCTGTAATAATTATCGTACTTTTTTCTTATGTCATGGTATTTACTAATCTTTTTTTGACCTACTTATTAGGCAGGTAATAAAATAAATTGTTATAGAATACTGTCACATTTTTTCTTCTATTAGGATTCTTTTTGCTCATTTAAATCCTTGATGTCTATGGAATTTATTTTGGTGAAAGTTATGAGGTAGGAGATACCACTATTTTTTTGGATAGTCACCCCCTTGTTCTAGCACCATCTATTGAATTACCCATGTTTCCTCTTCAGTCAGAAATATTACCTTTTAATCTACTAAGTTCCCACATATATTTGAGTCTGTTTGCATCTTACATTTGTTTGGGGTTTTTTCTTTTGTTAGTTTATGTCTATGTTTTTTTTTTTTTTTTTTTTTTTTTTTTTTTTTTTTTTTTTTTTTGGTTTTTCTCCGGTACCGGGAACCGAACTCACGACCTTGTGCTTGCCAGGCAGGCGCTTTTGCCGCTGAGCTAAATCCCCAGCCCCTATGTCTATGTTAATATGTCAGTATTGCATCTTCTTAATTCAGCTAGCCCAGTTAATTGTAAGAGCTAATGCTCAGATAGTGCATATTCTGAGCTAGAATCTAGTTGGAATGCATTACATCTAGTCATCAGGACAACCCTACAAAGGTGCTGTTCTTATCCCCCTCTTATCCATAAGCAAGTTGGGTGTTCATGCCGTGGTGCATTTGTATCACAGTGCCGAAGTTCCCACAGCCAGAGCAAGAAGCCTGGGGTTGACATCAGGCTGTACAGACTCCGTGCTCTTCACTTTTGTTCTTGAATAGCTGATGAGGCAAGTTTCCTCTCAATGAAAAAACTTTAAAGGACTTTCAAATCAATTATGGAGGATGCCGAGGTGCAAACGATGAATGCCACTAGCCCTCGTCTCTTTGTTAAACTGTGGTTGCGTACATCCAAATTTCTTAGGGACAGTCTATTCTGATGCCCTACAGGCATTCCAAATATAGCAAATCCCAAACTGAATTAGTAATCTTTTCTCTTCAAACCTGGTCTTCCTCTTGTGTTCCCTGTTTTTCTTGGCAATTTCATCACAGCCTTTTTCACCCAAGATGAAAATATGGTGAATGCGCATCGCCATAATCCCTAAATCTCAAAGATTTTGCCTCTTAGACTCTCCCGGGACCTTCCCTTCCCTTCTCTGTGCAGGACCATCGCCTTAGACTGATCCAGCCCGGCTCACCTCCAGCCGGTCCTCTGTGCACTGATGATGTCTTCACAGCAGGATATTGTGCTTTGTTGCTTCACATTTCCTCTGGGCCAGAGGCTCTGGGAGTGACTTACAAGGTCCCCTTCTCTCATCTCCTGCTTCTGCACTGAGGTGCTTACAGTTCTTATAATAGTCTTCGTTTGGATGCCAGTGACTGTCCCTTCTGCCACCTTTAGCTTGTGTCCGGTTCTTTCTTTCTATTCATTTGGGATTTTTTTTACAGGTTTTATTTCCTTGGGGAAGACCTTCCTGGCTGTCCTTCCTCCGATCTTTTCAGCCCTGCCATAGCTCTTTCCTAATGAGCAGTTAACCCTTGAAGCACCTGCCCCAACACTACATGCAACTCCCTGCCTCTGAGTTCCTTGAAAAGCAGATCATACACTGTATCTATTTTTTATTCTCCAGTTTCAAGACAGGTTCTGGAATGTGAACACTGGCCTAGTCCTTCCTGACCTGCGCCAAATTCCTTTTCCTTCTGCTCTCTCACTTCCCCTTTTGGTTCATGGAGAAGGAGACGATAATCCCTTCTCCATGAACCAAAGAGTGATGATTCGTAAGAAATGACTAAATCAGAGGGGAAGTCCTGCATCGGCAAATGATCAGATTCTGTGGGCAGGGATCGGTGGCTTTCAGACTTGATCCCACACACATCCCACTTGAGGCATCTGTTACAATTGGAAATTCCCAAGCACAGGTCCAGAGCGTGACTTGGTGGGTCTGAGGTGGGCCCAACAGGGATCTGCATTTTAAAGAAGCACCTTTGGTGATTTTGATGCGGGTCAGTTCTGAGAGACAGCTGGGAAGCTGGGGAGAGAGCTGGTCCTGGGCCACTTACCTTTTTTTCTCTGCCACTTAAGGAAGACCATCAGTCCCACAATTATGGCTATGAGTGCAATGGTGGCAGCCACTGCCACCCCCACTATAGCTCCAAAACTCAGGGACGGAGGCTCTGAGCTCTTTCCTCCTGTGAACTGGAGACCCGCTCTGGTAGTTTTAGGGGCCATGCTGGTGGGTCTTTTCGTGGTGATCTTAACAGCTGTGGAGAGATGAGAAATAAGCAGATCTTCCCCTGAGAAGTGGAGAGATTAGGTGAAGGCGTTGCGTCTTTTTCTCTAGCTTCAGGAGCAAGCCTTCTGCGTGGGTAGAGGAGCAGCTCTGGGAAGTTCATTCCAGGAGGGAGCAACAAGGAGAAATGCTAAAGGCTTAGACTCTAGATCACCAGCTTAGATCCTGACTCTGTACCACTTACCAGTAGTGTGTCCTCAGACACTTCATCAGTTACAAATTAGATACCTAAATCATAGAATTAAAAATTATTTTTATTGTTGTAAATATATGTAACAAAATATATCATTTTAACCCTATGAAAGCTGGGTGTGGTGGCACATGCGTGTAGTCCCAGCACTCAGGAGGCTGAAGCAGGAGGATCGTTGCGAATTCGAGACCAGCCTGGGCTACAAAGTGAGCTTGAGGCCAGCTTGAACTGCGTAGCAAGACCCTGTCTCAGAAAAAAGACAAAAAAAAAAAAAAAAAAAAAAAAAAAAAAAACACAACCCCAAAGCCCTATGAAAGTGTACAGTTCAGTGGTGCTAGATACATTGAAACTGTTTTGCAACTATTATAACCATCCAACTCCAGAACTTTTTCATGTTCCCTAAATGAAAACTCTGAAAGCATCAAACAAGTTCCCATTTTCCATATTACCAGCCTCTGGCAGCCATAATTTGACTTTTCATCTCTATGAATTTGACTACTCTAGGGACCCCCTGAGTGGAACCATATGTACTTTTATAGAATTGTTTTGGTACAGAGAAGAGGTATATAAGAATGTTTTGGTCAGTGACAAACTACATAGCCAACAGAAGTCCCATAAAATTACATAGCTGTCTATGATTTCATGAAAGAATGGAATCACCTAAAAATGCACTTTTCAGATTATAGCATCCTTGTTAAGCAACATGTGTGTATTAAAACCTGAAATGTGACTCAATAGACTTGAATTCATAATACTAAATTCTTTCATTATTTAAAATGAGGGAAGCCAGGTGTGGTGGCACATGCCTGTAATCCCAGCACTCGGGAGGCTGAGACAGGAGGATCTTTGTAAGTTCAAGGCCAGCCTAGGCTACAAAGTGAGCTCAAGGCCAGCCTGAACTGCACAGTGAGACCTATCTCAAAAAGACAAAAAAAAAGTACCTTAGGATGGTTTTGATGGTTTGATATTTATTGATGATTATCAAAAAATATAATTCACTACATAAATAGAATCAAGGATAAAAATCATATGCTCATTGCAATAGTTGCAGAAAAAGCCTTAGACAAAATTAAACATTCCTTCCTGATAAAAGCTCAGAAGAAACTAGGTATGGAAGGATCCTGCCTCAGTATAATAAAAGTTATATCCAGCAAACTCACAGGCAATATCTTACTTAGTGGACAAAAACTGAAGGATTTCTTCTAAAACTAGGAACAAAATAAGGGTGTCCATTCTTGCTTCTCTTGCTCAATATAGTGTTTGAAATTTTAGCCAGAGCAATTAGATGAGAAAAAGAACGAAAAGGGATATAAATAAGAAAGGAGTTGCATTATCCTTACTTGCAGATGATATGATTCTTTTCTTAGAAGAACTCTACCAGGAAACTTTTAATTCTTGTGAAAGAATTGAGCAAAGTGACAGTAAACAACATACAAAATAGACACTAATAACCCCTGAAAAAGAATTTATGAAAACAATTCCATTCTCAGTAGCTCCATAAGCACACACACACACACACACACACACACACACACACACACACACACAGAATAAGCCCAGCAAAGGAGATGAAAGCTCTCCATAGTGAAAATTCCAGAACACTGAAAAAAGAAATTGAAGACACTTATATGGAAAGACCTCCCTTGTTAGATTGGCTGAATTAATATTGTTAACATGGCCAAAATGTACCACAAGTGATCTACAGATTCAGTGCAATCCCCATCAGAATTCCAATGACATCCTTCACACAACTAGAAAAAGCAATTCTAAAATTCATATGGAAGCTCAAAAGACCCAAAATAGCCAAAGCAGTTCTGAGCAAAAAGACTAATGCTGGAGGCATCACAATACCTGCATTCAAATTAGACTACAAAGCCGTAGTAACAAAAACATGTTACTGGCACAAAAATGGGCACCTAGACCACAGAAATAAAGGACACAGAAAATCTCACACAGCTACGGCTATCTCATTCTTGACAAAGGGGCAACAAATATGTTGGAGAAAAAGATAACCTCGTTGACAGTGGTGCTGGGAAAATTGGATATGCATAGGAAGATGACTGAGGGCCGGGGATACAGCTCAGCGGCACAAGCGCCTGCTTGGCAAGCACAAGGTCCTGAGTTCGATTCCCGGTACAAAAACAAAACAAAACAAAACAAAACCAACAAACAAAAAAACAATAAGGACATAGGAAGATGACTGAAACTAGATCCCTAGCTCTCATTCTGTACAAAAGCAATTCAAAAAGGATGAGACCTAGAAAAATGTCCTTAAATTTTGAAACTGACAGAAGAAAACACTTCCAGTCATATACACAGGCAAAGACTTACTGAACAGGACTCCAATAGAACAGGAAATAGTAATCAACAAATGGGATGACCTCAAATTAAAAGCTTCTGCACAGCAAAGGAAACAATTCACAGGGTGAAGAGACAGCCTCCAGGATAGGAGAAAATCTTTGCCAAGTACTACTCATCTGTGATTAATATCTGGACCTCAAAAACTTACCAGAAAAATAACCCAGGCAATAAATGGGCAAATGAATTGAACAGACACTTCTCAAAGGAGAAGTATAGAAAGAGATGAAGTAGTAACAGGGACACAAAGTGGACAGGAGCTGGGCATGGTGGTGCATACCTGTAATGCCAGCACTCGGGAGGCTGAGGCAGGAGGATCCTTGTGAGTTCGAGACCAGCCTGGGCTACAAAGTGAGCTCAAGGCCAGCCTGAACTGCACATCAAGACCCTGTCTCAAAAAAAAAAAAAAAAAAAAAAGACACGAAGTAGACAGAGGAGCGTGTTACTGCACTTTTCGTTTGACTTCCTTCTGTACTGCTTGGACATTTTTTATTATGAGCAAGTATTACTAGTACATTATTTTTAAATGTAAGATTTTTTCAGAGTTTATAGGCACATAGTGTAGAGTCAGCAAGTGTCGCACAGCCTGCAAAAAGCAGCAGCTTCCTGTACGGGCCCCACATTTGCTTCCCACTCCCCAAGTCACTATTCTCAATAACTTTTGCCATTTCCTGCCCTCCCCTCCCCCACGCTTCCCCTTCCTTCTCACAGTCCTCCTGCCTGAGCTTCCCAAACCACTGGGATCACACGTGTGCGCTACCATGCCTGCCATTTAGCTATTTGTAAAGAACACATTAACCTTATATTTCTAAATAACACGTGTATGCTGCTGTTGCTTGCTTTGGTTGTTTTAAAGGGCATCTATTTACTGCCTACGGGTGAAGTGAAGGGCTTAGATCTTAACACCTCCAGTTTCTTCTTCTTACTCAACTTTTCAGGTGTCTTTTTTTCTTTTTTTTTAAGACCAAATGTCCCTATTTTTCCCAGGCTGGTCTTGAACTCTTGGTTTGACTGAGTCTTCTGCCCCTCAGCCTTCAAGTAGCTGGAACTACAGGTGTACACAACCATGGCCAGCTGTTTGGCATTTGATGCTTGCCCTTTTGATTTCTTTGTTTGGATTCTGGGACATCACTCTCTTGCTCCTCCTGTCGAACGCTTGGCTCGTTCTCTAGGAGAACTTGGCTTCTGAACTTTCTCTGAACTTGGCTTCTTTGTTGATTCCTCCTCCCCGAGGTTACAGCTCCCTTTCCAGCTCCTCCCTGCACTCCCTGTGCTTGCTGTCTGCCTTTCCTCTCTGCTATCCCTTTCTGCCTTGGAGCCGGCCGATGACGGACTGAAACAGGAGCCAAAAGACATCTTTCCTCCTTTCAGTCGTGGGTGTTTGGTATCGTGTCTCAGTGATGAGAAAAGTGACAAAGACACTTGGTTTTTAAGGTTTTCAGTTGGCCTTCTAATTTCCAGACCCGTCCCGAATCCTGCTTTCTGGGATGCCTGGAACGGCAGTACCTGGGATAGCACTGCTGAGCCTGCGTGGCATTCTGTGGTGCAAGCTGCCATTCTTCTAGGTTCCCCATCACTGGCCCAGGGTTCAGCTCCTCTGGTCTCCTACGCCCGACCCATCAGTCTCCCCAGCCTCCCAAGTTCTGCCTTACATCTGGCTCACAGTTTTTATTCTTGAGTGTTTGCATGTTTAAAAATTCCTTTTGCTAAGAACAGTTAATGATTACTTGTTTGATCAGTCTCCTATGTCTCTATTGGTTTTCTTGAGAAACCACTTTGAAGATATCA